ATAAAGACCCATAGCAACATTACCAACTATCCTTGCTTAAAATAGAAGTTTAAAAAAATATATATAAGAATTTGAATGTGCGCATATAAAAAAAATGGTTTTTATTCTACATCGCAAAAACAAGAGCTGATTGAGCAAAATGATGTTCATTTTTGGATTCAGCGTACCTAAATTACCCTTAAAAAGTTGTTGGTTGCCGTGCATCAAACAGAAATTTTATTTTTGTCGGCCTGTGTTATTAATACTTTCTAAATTAATTGTAAAACAGGTTAATTTATTCAACGGGTGTATTTAATAAAGTTTGGCTTAACTCAGAAGACCCGTTTTTTATGTCCAATATTTTATTTGATAATTTTTTTTTCGGGGCATAGATTCTTCTATGTAGGCGACAGCCGTTGATTTCCAGCCTTCAAGTCGCTTAATATTGGAAATTCCTTCCCCAGAATCGGCTAATATGGTAGCGGAGGATCTACGAAAACTATGACCTATGTACTCCTCAGGATTTTTAAGTTTTAGATATGCAGCTATTAGTGCAGGCATTTTACCAAATGTATTAATTCCTACACATTGGGTAGTGCATGCTCTTCTTTTATAATTGACAAAAAGCCGCTTGTGTGGGGTATTTGGTTTTCGCAAATGTGAATATTTTCGAAACAGTTGTAAGTTATGACCATTATTGATTTCATCAGATATCACAAAGATTCTCGATGTGTAATTTTTACTGTCCGAAATTTTCACGATTACCAAATTTTCTTTATCTTCTATATCATCAATCATTATCTTTGAGAGCTCTTCTCGCCTACAAGCACCAGCCAATTCAAAAATAGTGGCAACTTTTATTAAAAGGTAAATTTCATATTTCTCAAAAATTTTGGATTTTTTCGGTCGGTATTCCAGATTTTCTTTTTTTATATAGGATGTTAATTTATAATATAGGCTCAAATCCAAATTTTTATTAACTTTTAGGACACTTTTTAACATGGAGTAATTACTCCACAAAGTATTTGGCTGATATTATTTTCTTAAATCTGCAAAATAGGCCAGAAACACTTCTTCTTTAAAACTTTTTGTCCCTTTGTTTTTGCACCAGTTTTCGAAATGTTTAAATTGTTTTTGGTAGGATTTCGCTGGTAATAAATTCTCATTTACAGTATTTGCTGCCTCCAGAATGTCATATGGTAGCTCTTCTTTCGAAATGTTCATTTCAATTTCGCGAAAAATCTATAATATATTGACATGGAAACTAAGTAACTAACTAAATTTAATTTTGTCTAAAATTAGCATACTTACGTACATTTTAAAAGCAAATGCATGCGGAAAAGTATTACTAAAAATTTATATCTGGAACTTAAAAATATATTTATATAGATCGATAAAAATTTAGCGCGCCCGTCTGAATTTTAACATTAATTAAATATAAATCGCCGTAATCCTAAATTTTCCCGTAAACCGCTGGCAAATTTACTCGATACGCTGTGTGATATACGGCAAGAGACAGGAATTAAAGTATACAGATGCCTCGCTTCTTTTAGCTCTTGTCTCGTCTATACCCCAACCTCTAATTTTATTTAACTTTGCTGTCACACAGTGGAATATTCTTACTTTTGACAATTAAAGAGAGTGCACTACGCCTAATCAGATGGTTGAAAATGTTGGAAAGTGTGAAACAAACTCTGAACAGTTTTATGCATAATTTAATTATCACTATAACTCATATAACTTTCACAACAAAATGCATAGCAAACCACCATTGTATTTTAATATTAAAACCGACTTTTTAATTTCTTTTCAAGTAAAAACTTCTGAAGTTGACACTACATTACAACTTAAATCCGTTTTCCACTGTGCGCGATCGTAATTAGGTTGGATGCCTGCAAACCCGTTCCGCACTCATGGCCTACCTGATCTATGTCAACGACATCCAGTTTATACCCCTCACCTAGTAGGTTTGTATCTCCGTCGCACAGGCAGGTATTTTGGCCTAAAACGTGGCCAAAAATATTTAGGAACTATTTCTGTATCAAAAAGGTAGCAAACAGTGGCGGCCCGTGACATTTCATTTTGGTGAGGCAGAAGCAGGGTTTCGCCCTCATTTAAAGGCGAAGAAATTTTTTTAAACCCAACTTAAAAAAACTGACGTCGCAGTTCACAACCTATACTTAAAACTAAGTAAAAAACTTAGACTGTGGTGGGGAAGGAATCCTCTACTTTGTCAATGAAATATATTTTATTGTAAAATTTTAAATAAACCTAATTTTTGTCTAATTAATATTTCATTGTTCAAGAACCACGTGAAGGTGTAGAGGTAAAGTGCAGCATTATTAATATAACCATTAGGTTTAAGCAATATCGGTACAATTTCTTACCGTAATATCCATAATGACTAAATTTACACAAATCACCAAGTTCAGTTAACTAAACCCACAGAATAAACCACTTACAAAAGAATCATAAAATAGACAAACTCATAGAAAAAGAATAAACAAAATATTGCGTAAATAACCACAGATTTGTTCTTTAAACAGTTCAGAATTTTATAACCAAAACAAACCTAAAGAAGAAATCTGTATTTATTTTATTGGTTACTGGGATGGCTACACGATGGCGATAGTGTTTAAATATTTTTATTTTAGAATATAAATATAATTTCGATTAAATCGATTTATTATAAGAAAAATAATACCATTATTATTGAATTTTGAAAAACGTGTGAAGTATAATTTATCTAAAATTCCGCAACAGTGTTGTCACAACACCTGCTTATTTCCTTGGGTGTAGGCGTGCCTGCCTCGCGTATGCTAATACGAGAGAAAGAGACAACTATAATATCGCATTGTAATAGAACGAGACAACAAGGCTAACGCCAATCGTGAGTCTAAATTAGTTCAGGCATGCTTCTGAGCCAATCATCTAGCTATAATTATTAGTTTAAATTGTGGTCGTTTTAAATTCAAATAATTTAAATGTTGCTTGGTATTCCACGTATAAAATCAATCAATTTTATTGACTATTTCACAATTCATGTAATCCAAACATTAAAAATTTATAGTATATTATAGAAAGTAAAATATTTAAATTATGCTTAATTTTTTAATTCTCTATGATGAGGCACTTCCTCACCTGCCTCCCCTGACGGTCCGCCACTGGTAGCAAATGATTAAGTAGGTACTTACATGCTAGTCATACAATAAAAATATTAATATTTAATTTGTTGGGCACTTAAAAATAATTATATTCATATCCACTTTTTCCATGGCCAATTCAGGTAGCAACTACACCAAAAGATAGCCATGTTATTGTAACGTTTTTACTGTTCGTAGTGTGAATTATTATTTATTTTATAACTTAATTACACTTAAAACACTATAAAACTAACTAAACACTTAACTAATAATTATTTATATATCACTACTGTTCAAGAGTCTATTTATTTGCACGTATATTTATTTATTTCGACGTATATTTATTTATTTCGTCGCGAGTACCAAAGCTTGACTGACTGCTCCATGCTGCGCCGTTCCTTATATATTCAGTGCCTACGTGCATTCTCGAATATTCCAGCGAGCTCCACAACGCTCTCGATTATTCGAGCACTGACTAACCGGCGATGAGTCATCATTCCGAGATCCATAGCGGTACTCGCTACACTATCTATCTGCTTTGAGACGGAATCTTAGATCTAGAATTAAAAATTAACAAAATTGAGTTTTGACCACGTTTTAGCATAAAATACCTGTCTGTGCGTCGCCTTTAGTTTAAGAGACATGTGTCTTATTATCTAGGTCTCGAATTAATTTGCGAAATCGCTTTAATTTTAACGCGTCGCGACGCGACGTTATGATTAATATCGAGATGTATTTAATGACGTGTCTTATTCATTGAGATTATACAGGGTGTCACTAAAATGAAAGAAGTTTTTTTAGTTTATTTGCATACTTTTTTAACCTTCCTATACAATCGAGGATGGGAAAGAGTTTACTATATTTACTACGTAGTAGTAGTTGATGTTACTATTCCCTATGCCTAAAGTTAATAATTGTGGAAATATTTAACAATTTCTAAGATTTTTAAAATTATTTTGTATCAAGAAACGTGATGGGTGAGTTGACGGTGTCTATGGTTACCACGTAATCTGAAATTTTTCAGGTTGTTATAAACAATTTGTTGACTAACTAGATTTTTTTTTGTAAACTAAATTACTGATAAAAAATAGTGCTCAGTCAGTGACTTATAAAAAAATACACAAGCAACATTTTTAAAATTTAAAAGTATATTAAAAAATCGCCGCGGCGGGCAAATATATCATAAACGTCGCAACAAACAGTTTACGCACACACTTCATACATTCAAATGACATTTGATTTAATCATCAATATTAATTAATATTATTATTATTAATATTATATTTATTATAATTATTAATATTAATAATTATAATTATTAGTATTATTAAATGTGATTTCGGATAAAATTTAATATGCATCTTGGCATTAAAGTCATTTTTTAGCACTCACTTGGTTACTTATTTAATAATTTCAATGTGTTTTAAAGGTGGGAGTAGAAAAAACTACTTTTAATACAATTTAAAGGTTTTTAAAAAAGATTGATTATGAGAATATTAAAAAATCCTCTATGGTATCAAGTGAATGTTTGTTTTAGTATTATTAAATTTTGGATGTTATAAACCTCGAGATAAATAAAAGATGGGGTTGGCTACAAATATTTATTTCCTCGGGGTATAATATAAAATATATACTTGCATTTGCAATTTTCTTGTTACCTATATATTTTTTAAACAAAAATAAGTACCTATCTAATTTTAGGAATTCCCAAAGAGTAAACACTTAAATTGTCTACAAATGTACTTTAATAAAACAAGGTTTCGATAAAAATATGTATTATTATTGAATAGATGGTATCAAGTAAAAATAAATATGATAGGTAAATAGACACAGATAAATATCTTATCTATTCACAGTTTAATAACTTTATATGTGTTATTGCATTTATTTTGTAATCATTTCTTAATTACAATACCAACAAAATGACACCTTTTAAATTTTTGATCCTTTTATGTTTATTAATGTGTAGTTTGTTGGGATTTGTACACAGTTTTTTACTACCTCCATGTAAGTTAAACATATTTATAAAATAACATTATTTTTAAACGTTTGAATCTTATTTTTAGTACTCAATACTATGCCAGGTAAGTTTTTCACAAAATAACTAAAAAAAAATTCGTTTAACTATTTTTTTATAGATTTTACGAATGAAACTGTAGCTGAAGAAGTAGCCAACTGTACGTTAAAATTAAAAGACATATTTTTAAAATAATTATGAAATGTTTACATTTTTAGATGCTTGTAAAAAAGAAAACTGCCTTCCTTTAATCAAGGCGTGTCCCTACGCATTTTTGTGCGTTAAATTTTGCAAGCAATATACAGGAGACCAATTTGGAGTGTGTTCTAACGACCATTGCAGCTGTGATCCTTAAGTTTTAATAAATTTTGTGATTTGTTTATTTTTGTTTCTTTAAAACCAATCACATTGTAAAATTTTCATTTCTTATCATTCAAAGAGTACGGGATATTTCTTACGGAAAGAAATAGTTTTAAAGTAAGTCCCACAATATTGTTGTAAAATATTTGTGGTAATATTGCAAAATAAAACACCTACAATCACAGGCAAAATAATCGATCCACACAAATTTTCAAAGAATTTCAATCGCAAATAACTTTTTTATTTGATTTCGGATTTAAACAAATATTAAAGAATATTGTAGATATATTAATGGAGAATCGCTCACATTTTAAAAATTACTAAAAACACACGTACGTTTATAATATACAGGTTTAAACAAAAAGATGTTTTGTACCATAAGTTTAAGACACTCTGTAGAGTGGCTAAACCGTATATTGTTCTAAATTAAGTTTTAATTATCAAGTCACATCTATTTTTAACAGTTTTGTTTTTGGTTTACCTTAATATATTTATTTTTGTGGAAAATATGGATTTTTTTTAAAAACATTGCAATTTCCAATATTTTTCTGTACGAAGAACTAATGTTGCTATAGTCCATCCATAGCCTATGAAGGATGACAGTGACAGTTTTGTTGAATCATCCCATACTTGGAAATGTCATATACATCTTTCAAAAGCTATCAAATTGTTTTTTGTAAATTAATGTGTTAATTTTGAGGTGTCTTCTTACTTTTAAAAATGTCTCCGACTGATGTTGCCCTTTGTACTTTACTTCTTGTGACGTTTAAAACACTTGCCACGTAATACTGTGACCGTCCATCCTGGATTAAATTAATGGCTCTGGCAACATCAGTCGGAGACATATCCATTTTTTAAAGTAAGAAGACACCTCAAAATTTAAACATTAATTTACAAAAAACAATTTGATAGCTTTTGAAAGCCGTGTATGATATGTCCAAGTATGGGATGATTCAACAAAACTGTCACTGTCATTGTCCATAGCCTATGGGTGGACCATAGCAACCTTAGTTATGCATACAGAAAAATAGTGGAAATTGAAATGTTTTTTTTTAAATCCATATTTTCCACAAAAATAAATATTTCGAGGTGAACCAAAAACAAAACTGTTAAGAATAGATGCGACTTGATAAATAAAACTTAATTTAGAACAATATACGGTTTTGCCACTCTACAGAGTGTCTTAAACTTATGGTAAAAAACATCTTTTTGTTTAAACCGGTATATTATAAACGTGCGTGTATTTTTTAGTAATTTTTAAAATGTGAGCGATTGTCCATTGATGTATCTACAATATTCTTTAATATTTGTTTAAATCCGAAATCAAATAAAAAAGTTATTTGCGATTGAAATTAATCGAAAATTTGTGTGGATCTATTATTTTGCCTGTGAGTGTATTTCAATTCAAAAAATATTTTTTTTAAATTTTACTCTTATTTACAGTGGATAATAATGTTTTAAATTAATGGTCTTTATCTGTATACCAGTGAGTATTACAAATTAAACCAGGGTGTGCTAATCAAAAATTTTGTAAATGGAAAATGGCAAGAACTTTGGGCAACAAATAACAGCTAAAAGCAGTTAAAACACAAATCGGACAAGAATTATCAACTCCTCCAGGTCGAAAAAACCAAATAGTAGCAAATCGCCTTAGAATCGGTCATACTGCCATCACGCATAGCTTCATCTTCAAAAACGAACCCATTAGCCTTTGCGAAGAATGTAACACTGCCCTAAGCGTATTCCATATAATTCTAGAATGTCCAAAATATAATAGAAAAAGATCACTGCACCACATCCCGGATAGTTTGGAGACGGCTTTAGGCACGCAAATTGAAAAAACCCTGGACTTCCTAAGATCGATAAATATTTTTAACAAAATCTAATATATCTATGTTTGTATATGTATACTGCTAATAACCCTTGGAGGTTGATGCAGTCCCAATTTGTAAATAAAAAAAAAAACCAGGGTGTGAAATTTAATTTGGAATGGTTGAAATTTAATTTGGAATGGTTCGATAGATTCTATTGAGATTTATAAAGTTAAGGCTTTTAAAATGGAGGTAAAGAGGGGAGCGCAGCCTGCTGTTTTCTTTTTGTAGAAGCTTCGATAATAATTGATTACTCCCTTTGAGTCCCTTTTGTTTCTTATTTACTTGTAAAACGGATTTGATTGGAAATCATTTGGAATTTTAATCCGATTCCTACAAATAAAATGACAACAAAAAATTTAATTATTGTTTTTTTTTTATTTTGACTTTGATCACAGTTACCCCTGCCACCCACCTAAACAGGTGGTTTATTGTGGGAAAAAACTAAAATAGATCAACCACATTAAACAAGGGAAATTTGCGAAAATCGAATAAGTATTTTAATAATAATAAATACTGACATAAAAAACATTAAAAACGGGAAAAAAACAATATCTTAATAGACCAAAGAATACCTAATGCCTCTTCAGCCAAGCAAGTTCGACTTAAAATCAAAAACAAGCATCCGAAAAGAAGACGTGACTTTAAAAAAACTAATAAACCCATAAATCTTAAGTAGGTTAACAACCTAAACAAATTTCTGATCTTTGCCTAACATAAACATAATAAACCACTCGACATCTCAAAAATCGAACAAAAGTAATAGCCTTCTGCGAGCCACAACAGTTATAATTGCAAAGGATAAATTTGTATGTATTTTGAAATAATATTTTAGCAATTAAATTCTCCAAGTTTTTAGTTGTTTTCTCTAAATTGTAATATTAGTACAATGTAGCATACAGGATAACGATTTAATAAGTAGAAAAGTGTGCTTTTCGGTGTTTTACAATTCTGCCTCTATGTCCTGACCATTGTTACATTTATTTGAAATTCAGCGAATTTTCTTAGTTAAACATTCCTAAAAATTACAGGCCTTTACTTTGTTTCGGGTGTTACCATGGTTCTGTTTCGGGTGTTACAAGTAAAAAAGTTAAACACTTTACATGGACAAAATCGTGGTTTTATTAGTCTCTAAGTACTACAAAATAAGTAAGAAATAAATATAATGAATTCTCCTTTACTTAACATAACTTAAGCAGTTTCGGATAAGATTGATAAATCGGCAAAACCAAAAATCGTTATTATTGCCAAAAATTGGTTGATACATAATTATTGACGAGAATTGTAGTATTTTTCGGGTGTTACAGTTTTAAATCAAGAAAAACACGAATCAAATTAGTCTCACGCAGATATTAGTTAGTATTTTAAATCAGCGCTCTACACCGGTCACCGCCTGAGAAGGTCTTCGGCGACTCTTTTGGCCAATGCAGGGGCTAACATGACTACTTTGAAGCGTCACGGAGGATGGAAGTCCTCGACGGTAGCAGAAGGATACCTAGAAGAATCGGTGCATAACAAAATACAAATTGCAGAAAAAATACAAGGTTGTAATGCGTCGGTGTCTTCCAGCACTATCAGCAGCTATACCGATATCTTTTATAGCATTTTCCTTTAATTTCAATATCAATGGAAATTATGCTAGTGTTTTATTTGATATTTTATTTTCTAAAATGATTAATAATGACATAACTGTCATGTGTTGGATAAATTAATTTTTTCTACTCCTATTAGGGAATATGACCGTTCTTATATCACTTATTACCCACTTTTGCTAATTCTGTTTACAAAAAATTAGGATTCGTTTACGAAATATTTACCCACCTGTTTTTACCTTTAACAGAGTTAAAAAGCTTAAAACATGGAAGAACAAAACTGTATAGAAAACCTCTTAAGACAAATAAGCTGATTAACGATTCCAATAAAGGACTGTATAGTTTGTGTTAGGCTTGAAATGAGCAAAATTTATCAGGGAAAAATTTATGATCATATTAGTGGAAGGCGCAAAAACCAAAGCGTTCAATCGACGTACCTACATAATTATCTATCCGGATTTAGTTTTATGCTTAGTTAACTTGGATAAAGCCCTGTTAATAATGTTAGTGTCGTTGATATATTTATCCTATAGTATTTTTTGTATTGTAGTTAAACAAAGACAATTAAAACTTTAATCATCGCAGCTAATATATTTATGTTTGGAGTAACTTTTTCCTTTGTGCAGAAAGCACGAATTAAGCTCGAAGCTTAATTACTTTACAATTACCTTTTTTCGGTATGGCTTTATTATCCTGCAGCTTACTTCCTGCTAGAGGAAGATTGTTCCAGTCATGAATCAAATGTTTTGTATCCAGATACCAACCCAACATGGAACAGGGAAAGTTATCCCCTTTAGACTAATATCCTCCAAACAATGATCACTTTAACGAACAAAAGCATTACGCTACCTTGTTAATTTAATTGCACTTAAGAAACAAGCTTACAAGCCCTACAATAATATTTTTTTGGCTAAACTTTTTTGTGTTGGAGAGATCTGCCTTTTGACCTTTATGCTTTAGGTAATCAATACAACACTAAATACTACAATGCTGAACTTTAAATCTCATATCTGCGTATTGATGTTTTATACTTTTAGCATTAAAGTACTACCAATAGTTTTGAGAATCGTACACTAAAAAAAATAATCTCTTAAAAGAAATGAAAATCACTTTGATTCAAAAGAACCAAAAAGAAGGAAAACGTTTTTAGCGCAAAAAAATGGGATTTTAACAACCGGCAAAATGTATATTAGAAATTCCTATAATAAAATTATAATATATTATATCACTGCCCCTAGAAAATGGCGAATTGCAAGTTGCAATGATACAAAACGTACTAAACACGTGTGCCGCAAACGGTGTGCTCGTTTTGCATCCCCTCCCATGTATCAGAAGCTACCAGATTTTGTTGTAAAATTGACATGCTATTGGAATAATTGTGATGTATCTTGAATGAATTGCGTAAATATAAATAATTTTCATAGCTTTTGAACAAAAATATTTTGCACTTGGTTGAAAGAAGAAAAATTCAAGAGATTTTGTATTTGTTGTTAAGAGAACTATACTTCTTCCACTAAGAACTTTTTTCCTTAAGCAATAATACTCTTGTATGCTATAATATTGTTTTTTGCTGCTTATAGTTTTTTATCAAAAGAGTTGACTATACTTTAGTTTAACTGCACCTTTTTTTTTCAGTATAACCAAAAAAATTTATTCCTTTCTAATAAAAAAATATTTTAAATAACCGTGTCATGTTTCGGCTATTTGTGGTCCTGTGTAAACCAATATCCCTTTTCATAACACATCCCGAAATATATCCTTCAAAACCAAAGAAACAAGGACGTAAAATACATAGGCTGAGGCATTGAAACTGCACTGACCCACTGGACCTAAATCTCACAAAGAAACGTTTATGATACCCAATAATATATATATTATATTATATTTTGTTTTCAAATCTTGTAAGGTGAATTTTGATTTTTTAAGTTTATTAAAATCATATAGAAACACTTGATACCCAAGTAGCAAAATAGGGTTTTTAAGGTATAAAAGGACTTCATAAAATTACTAAAGTGCATTGCTTAGTTAAAACCTATTTGCTTTAACAGCAGCTTAAAGCCATCATAGGGCTAAAAAGGAGAATTCCATTACTGTCCTTAAAAGCAATTTGTTTAAATAAAAGTTAATTTCTTTAAAATATAAAAACATTTAACTTCTTTTAAAAATTTGTGACGTTTAAATTAAAATAACAAAGGATTTGATAATTTTTATATCAAATTCGTGATCAGCGACCCCAAAAACCCAAAAATTAACATTTTTCGATATACTAATTATAATTAAAAAAATTCCGCCATTTTGGTCCACCATTTTGAATATGATAATTTTAATATCAGATTCGTGATCAGCAACCCCAAAAACCCAAACTTACCAATTTTCACATTATTATATTCACTTTTAGTTTTGGCCAAATAATGAGTCTATCCGGACCAGTGTGCGCTCGTAGAAAAATTGTGTTTTAATTTAAATAAGGACTGCAAACCCCTTGAAAATTCTTTAAGCATAAAAACTCAATCCGCGTTTTATTGAAACAATAAAGAATCACTAAGTCACTTTCTTATTGTGTTATGAGGACATGGATGTGAGAAAAACGTCCGTATTTATTTTTATAGTTCTCCTCTTTCTATTTGTGTTTTATGGATTATTGTTTCTACCGCGGAGGCGGCGGGAGCGGTGACGGTAGCAGAAGCGCGACCGTAAAAGTGAGGGCTAGGGCGAATTATTACAGGAAAAAGTTTTAAAGAACGATGACAGGATAAGTTATTTTTCACGCGATCTTTCATTGTAATAACACGTTCCATTTTTAATTTATTATGTTATGAAAACTGTAGCGCGATTGTCTTTTTGATTTAGTAATAAAATTTATCATCTAGGAACTAAACGTCAACAGGATATAGCCAAGTGAGCGCAGGATTTTTTTCTACGACTACGACAATAAATTAAATTAAGCATTTTTGTAATAGAACGCGTCTTTTTTTATCTGCCAAGTGTTACAAGTTGGGAATGGGGTTTGGTTGGTTAGTTCGCTGCTAGGACCCATGTAATACCTCCTGTTCTTCTGCGTCCATGATTGTTGTAATCGCATTGTTTGTCCCACTGTGCTGTCCATTCTTCGGTCTAGATAGTTTTCAAGCTGCAATGTAATTAACCAATAGTTATAGATAGTATTTAATGGTTTTAATTTTTATTACCAAATAATGCGAAGTTGTCTAATAATTTGGGCAAATTGTTTGCCCCACAGTGCGAAACCATTTCTTCAGTCTAGCTCTAGGTCAAAAACTATTAATAGATAGTTAGCAAAGTAGTAGAGTAATGCAAAACTGTCATTCCATGACAAACGATACTGAGGGCACAATCCACAATCTCGTTCTAAAAATACTAAAAATCACAAATTAACCTTCAAATTGACATTTGACAGCCCTCATA